AGCCGTAGGACATAGTTTTGTAGAGTTCTCCCCTCGCTGGAGTGGGTAAGTGTTCTCCTTTTGCTGTTTTTCGTAGGATGTTTTTCGTTCTCCTCCGAGGTCATCGTGTTTATGAAACGTCCAGCGACCGTAGTATTACTTTGCTGTTGTAGATTTCATCGTTTCTTGGTTTTGTTGTTTTCCGCTGTTGTATCGAGCACTTTCGCTCTGAAGTCATTATCCTTTCGTTTCTTAGCCGTTGTTATTCCTTTAGCTTAGTGTTTTGCGTAGTTTTGTCACCGTTTTATGCGAGATCGTAGATCACAACCTTTCAGTTTGACCTCGTTTAGCGTTTGTTTTCTTGTCTTCGTATCATATGACTCCTGACACGAGTCACGTGCTATTTGTCACGCTTGTTCTTCTTTCGTGACCTAGCATGTTTCCTAGCGTGTTTTGTTTACCTTTTTACATTTTAGTGTACTTTTGTTCCCTTAGTTGTATTGCTTAGCCGTCTTAGTAATTTTTAGCGTCGTTGTTTCCTTTTAGCGCTATTGCCCTTTTCATCGCCCTTTTGTTCCCTTTTTGTTGCTTTATTCGTTTTTCTAGTATTTGTTGTTATTGTATTTCTTTTCCACTAATTGGCCATTAACTTCTTGTTTGTTTCGTATGCGTTTTGTCTTTCATTGGTCGTCATTCGCTACCTCCCCTACTCGCGCGGCTCGGTCACATTTTGGTACCAGGAGTGGGGTAGCGAATATTATTTGGCTTCCAAAATCTTAGAAATACAATAAAGCACTAGGAGTAGAAAAGGGCAATAGAGGTCACATCCCATATGGAGGGTGAGGTGGAGGAACTCAAACAGAAGCTCCAGAAATTGGAGGACGAACACAACCAGGCATATCAACTCCTGAAAACCCTCCAAGCTAAGGAATCCCCAGGAGCTCCAGCCCCATCCCAACCCCAGGAAAAGCAGTTAGTGGTGATCCCCAATGAACAAAAATTGAGGAAGTTTAGTGGAAGACATGGTGAAAATGAACTGTCCATAGAGGATTTTATTGATAATGCGAAAAGCGCAATCACCTCAAGAGGACTCCCCCTCCCAGAGCAGGCGAATTTTGTACTCTCATACCTAGAGGGCCCTGCTAAAGAAGAAATGAAGCTCTATCCTAAAAGCGACCTTACGAATTCAGATAAGATCTTCGACCTCCTTCAAGAGTCTTTTGGCGAGAAGCGTTCTGTTCCCCAGCTCTTAAAAGCCTTTTACGACCGCCGACAGAGGGAAGGCGAAACCCTTCGTGCATTCTCCCATGCCCTGAGAGAACTGCAAGCCAAGATAGAAAAGAAAAGTGTGACCAAATCAACTGGCCAAGACGCAGCCCTTCGAGACCACTTCGCCGAAAATGTTAGAGATCCCCTCCTTCGAAAGGAACTCAAGAAGTTTATCAGAACACACCCAGAAATTTCCTTTCTAGACACCAGAGAGGAAGCTATTCGATGGGCCGAAGAAGACGAGAAGTCCTGTGGACCGCGCCCCAGGGTGGCTTCGTCGCATGAGACCAGTACCTCCGCTAAGCCCTCTTCCCTCGAATCAGCCATGAATGAGATGATTAAAACCCTGCAAGGCCAGCAAAAGGCTATCGAAGACCTAGCAGCCAATCTCAAGAAGCTGAATACAGTGCCCACCCACAGAGGACAGAATATACAGCCTCAGCCCCAGTTCCAGCCCCAGTTTCAGCAGCGTCAGCCTCGACCTGATGCAGGTGGCGACAAGTGTTATCAGTGTGGAGCACCAGGACACTTTGCCCGGAATTGCACAGCAAGAAGCAGACCCCCGCCCCTTCGGAACCTCACCCCCAGGCCTCCACCTAACCCGTCAAACTAGCCCCCCCTGCTGCTGAGAGTCAGGCGGCAGGAGGGAACAGTCCTGGCTCACCTTGTCCCCCGCAGTTACCTGGAATTGTTTATGAGAGAGCAGTTGGAAGTTGTCCAGTCACTACTGTGAAGCTGGGGGGAGTACATGTACGCTGTCTTCTTGACTCTGGATCACAAGTCTCCACCATCACTGAGAGTTTCTTTAATAAGCACTTCCGCCCTAGAAGAAGCAAATTACTTGACACAAACCAATGGCTTACCCTTACAGCTGCTAATGGCCTGGAAATACCATACATTGGTTACCTGGAACTAGACTTTGAAGCACAAGGTGTAACCATCCCTCAGAGAGGTATTCTCGTGGTACGAGACCCCCCGGATCCCCAGTCAAGAGCCCGTAAAGAAGCTGTGCCAGGTCTGATTGGAATGAACATTATACAAAGAATGAATCAAGAGATTAAAGAACCCAAACTCCTAGAAGACTCTGCTTGGTCTAATACACTCCAAGTTGCAGGGAAAGCTATGACGTCAGTTAGAGGATTTGCGAAGATTGCAGGCAAAAGCGATGTTAGGATCCCAGCTGGAATGGTCACAACTGTAGATGCCACTGGTTATCGAGGATTGCAGCCTGGCGAAGATGCAATTGTCCTCATCGAGCCCCTAAGAGATTTGTCATGTCATGGACTGGTAGTCATGAGCACCATCTCATCCGTCAGTCGAGGACATGTCAAAGTACAAGTTGCTAACATAGCACAAGAAGACGTTTGGCTCCGCCCCCGTGAGAGAATTGGTATAATGCATGCAGTAGCAGGTGTTCAGGATGACAACCAGGCAGTTACCTTCACACAAGTCTCTGCCAGTGAAGTAGTCATACAACCCAAGCCCGAAGAAGCCCCCAAGAAAGAAGATTCCCCAAAGTCTACACCCATTCCCCCTGAAGACATGCATTGCACCCCTGAGCAGCAAGTAAAACTTGATGAGCTCCTGGCCAAGTACAAGGACATGTTTGTTACTGATGATGATGAACTAGGCTACACCGAAACAGTAAAGCACAAGATATTCACCACAGATGACATCCCTGTAAATCAGCCTTTCCGAAGAATACCCCCCGGTCAGTACCAAGAAGCAAAAGAACACATTCAGAGACTCCTAAGTCAAGGCATCATCCGAGAGAGCCACAGCCCCTATTCCTCCCCAATAGTACTTGTACGGAAGAAGAATGGTAGCCTCCGCATGTGTGTGGATTACAGAAAGTTAAATGCAAAAACGGTTAAGGATGCTTATCCCTTACCTCGGATAGAAGAATCCTTTGACGCACTGCAGGGAGCAAGCTGGTTTTCTACCCTGGATTTGGCAAGTGGTTTCAACCAGATAGGAGTAACTGAAGATCAACAAATCAAACAATCATTGACTCCCCGCACCACCCTGGGTGGGGAAGAAGCTGGAAAGGGGAGATCTCATTTGGAGATAAGATCGCAAAATTCCACGCTATTAAATGACTAAGCGCTCAAGTGACAGGTTTAGATTCTTGAATGAAAATCCGACGACCTCAAAAGATGAGGTCAAGCACTTACCACGTCATCCGGAAAAGCTGAATTCTGATGATTCTTTCTGAACTTGGGCCGCTTCTGTGAGAAACAAAGAAACAAAAAAAACATGAATCTTAGAGAAGCTCTAGAAACCGCGAGCTGGGGTAGTGTTAAGGGGAGAAGGGAGAGGTTACTGAACTAATAGCTGAAAATTGGTTACTGTTGGAACCGTCAGCATGAAAAGTCTCTTTACTGAACTGATGGCTGCAGATCTGTAACGCATAATGAATCGGCTCTTCTAAGACCAATGTTGAAGAAACAACTTGAGCGTTTAAGCGCTTAAACGCTGTAGTATCACGCCCAAACAATGGTATCGTATCTCCACTAGTAGCTAAGAAAACGTCTCACCGGTTTGGAGGGTGACCCAGGGCCACGGGTTTCTTGTGCTTCGGTCGAGAAATCCATTCTTTTAGTCTTTTCTCTCTCTCTCTCTCTCTCTCTTGTTTTTCCTGTCATACAGAAAACAAAAAGGTAGGTTTACTCAAGACTGGCTGTGTAGCTGGGTGCGGTCGGTTAAGAATCATTGCCATATATGCCACTCGATGATATTTTTTGCAGGAAAGAGAAAGAGAATCGCCATGAAAAAACAAAACAAAACAAAACAAAAAGGAAAAAGTCCAATAATAAAAACAAGGTAAGAAAGGAACGAAACGATAGACTACCTGTGTTGGTGTTTCCCCACGCATCGCAACTGCAAGCGCAAAGGCTATGGTCCCTGCTTTTCAATGGGGGAGATTGTAATCTGAAACCCGCACCGACGCCCATACCATGAACTGGGCCTGTTTCGGCCACATTAATTTTTAGGCCGCTGCATCAGTTTTTTGTCAATCAAAAGCTAAGTTGTTTTCGAGTGTTTTGTTTTGCTTTTGCTTTTTCTATTTTTTGCCACAAACAGGTGATCTCTACTGAACTTTATCCCGCGCAGGTAAACCAGGGACGCTGCCCACAAACTTAAACCGAGCATTTGGTACGCTAAGCAATACAACAACGTTTATTTCGCAGTACCATTTACATAGATGGTGTTGCATTAAAAAAAGAAGGGAAAAATAATAAAACAGATTTATATTTTTCCCCGCTTCCCCCCCCGTCCCCCCAAAAAACAACCACAACAAAACAAAACCAAAAATACGGCAAGTGACTGACCAAAAGCGCGTATTCAAAGGCCAAGCAAGTTTTTTGGGGTTTTGTTTTTCAAGCAGTTGGCTTCAACTTTGTTTCCGCCTTTATTGAAAACTCAATAAAACCTTGTACCCGACAGAACATGTACAATAAACATTACCGAAATTGGTTATCCAAAGCAGCAGGCGCCATCTTGAAAATACCAACGCGTTTTTCCACCCATCTTTTCAAACTCCCGCTGAACCTCACCTCTCGAAAACGCTCCAGACGCGAACTTTAGTTTCCTGTCTACATTTCCCACAGTTTCTTAGGCACTTTTCTACTGCCAGGTAAGCACCAGAGACTGTCAAAAGTTGCCAAAACAGGGTCATCTTTCAAGGTCGCATACAACACCACAAACATACCTCCGCTGACAAGCTCCATGGCAGGCACACTTACCTTAACTACCAAGACATTGTGATCGTGTTGTACAAATCGGAATTGTTTTCTCGTCCTGAAAGCAAGACACACTCTTCCAGACAAGCCTGCCAAGCCGGTGAGTCCGCATGTTTTCTATTCAGTGCTATATTTGTGTAACGGAGGCATTTTCATGTGCATATCAGCAACAATTTTCATGTGAGGACGTCAAACAAAATGGCGGATTCATTCCTCTAACTTTCGAAGCATCGTCTATTTTGTTCTTTTGCTAGATAATTTTTATCCGGAGTTTTTCACTGATCACAGTGAAAGAGCAAACACGTTGTCCTCAGCAGCTTTCTTTGAACTATTTTCCAGTGAAATTATATTTGTATGTTTAATTTCTTGTCGAGGAATAATATTGTTATTCGGCTCGGTGGAATAGCTCAAAGGATAAGGGTTACGGGCCCTAATGGAGTTCTTTCATTATTATTCAGTCTACATTTGGTGATTGTTATTGCTATTTTTTTCCTTTGCTATATTGTTGTTATTATTCTAGAGCGCACACACACTTCTATGAAGTTCTAGCTGATTTGGGCTTCCTAGTTTCCCAAGCCAAAAGCTAAGTTCTAAACTTTTAAAAGCATGGGTCACTACACAGTATTGTTTCAGAGACTGCATTCATAGCTGTTTCTCATGACTTACAGTATCCAACAATCTACACTACCTTATTTCTAGAAAATTCATGCCAGGTGTAAAACTCATTTTGTGTTTACCCCTCCACTGCTAAAACCCAAGGATATTGAACAGCGAGGTGAAAGAGAGTGTGTTGGTCAAATTATTGTTGAGTCTGTGCACAAAACCCCATGGTGTTGCTGTTTTAACTAAACCTGAAGACGTGAAATTCAAGCTTGTTGACAGTAAGTTAATTCGTCTTTCTTGAAGTTCGTACATGTACTTTTGCGGCACCATGAATTACATGGTCATGTTTACTTTTGCTTGTGAATAAATAAAACGCAACAGGAAGATGTGCCTTTTTGTAGGACAGGTTTTGAGATAAAAATTTTTCTGCCGTTGGAAGCAAATTTGCTGAAGACTTTGAATTTTTTGTTTTAAAGACTCTTGAAAACTATCACCAAATTTCGCATAGTGGTCCTTGGTCTGCAACCTATGTCTTTGGTGTAATTACATTTTGCAAAATAAATGAAACCTTTTGCTTGATAAAAGGGATGTGTTAAAATATTCCTTATACATGTTTCCAATTTCTCTTTTCTTAATATCTTGAATACATACAGAGTTTTGAGTAATTATTTTCTACCGCACTGAATATATTCTCTATATTTTAATTTTTCATATAATTTTTTCATATTTTCATTTTTCACAATTTAGCAAACTATTTCAGTTTTCTCAATTTCAAACTGTCTTACTCCTCTATGTAACACAAAGCTGAAAGTCTTGGAAATTCTCCTGTTGGCAACTACCTGCTGCTATAAATGTTGACTGTTGATTTGACTGGGAATTCACTGCACCTGCCACTTTGTTTACATCAAAATATAGTTGTGCAATACCATCTGGGGGAAAACTATTCAGCCAACTATTTTAGGAATAAGTTAAGTGGAATATCAAAATTAATTGCTCTTTAAATACTTGCATTTTTCTCCTATTATGTCTCTAGATCTTAACAACAAATTTAAGTTTACTGTATATCAATATGAAAGAAATCCTTAATATTCACCCTCCAGAGGTGTTAAGAAATACAGAACTAATGCACTGAAAAGCGCTTGCACATTAGGAGCCAAATCTTTGGATAATAGCCTCCTCATCTGCGGTCCTCTCTGAGGTGAGGAATGCTCTCCAAGGGGACGCTGGAGGAAGTTTTCTCCCAATGGCAACTATTGCAGCTAATTTTGACTGTTGATTTGGCTGGGAATTCACTGCACGTGCCACTTTCCTCAAGTCATCCCAGAAGAGAGAGTGCCCTGTGACCAACTGGACACACAGAAGTCTTGGCAAGAGCTGGGCCAACTGGCCGATGTGCTTCAGGCACTGCAATCTGTTCCTCTTGCAGTCAAAGATTTTACACAGAAGATCTTTCACCTTGGTCTTCCTTTGTACTCTCTCAGCTGGAGACAACTGACAAGGCACTGCAAGAGTGTAAATTTGGTGCAATGCTGTGCTGCTTGCCAACAGCTGGGTCATGCGTGCATTTTTACTACTGTGTGCTCTGGCCATTAGGGCACATAGCCCAAGGTGTCTTGAAAATACATCACGGACAGAACAAGGGGATAACTTTAAAGCATATGGTTCGGGACTTTGCCTCAATCATCGCATCATTGCTAACCCAACTGTTACACACCTTACGATAGAGCGTTTCTGTGTATGGTATGGGTAAAATAAATGTGCGCGTAGCCCTAAATATGGATAGATTGCCTCTTTTTTTCTTGTATTTTAATGAATTTTTGTTTTGTTATGTATTACATTTTACATTTTACATTTTTAGATTGCCTCTTACTCCCGGAGAAACGGTTTGGCTACAGGTAGAATGGCGTTGCGATTATCACATCCGGGACATCTGGAAGGGATGAGCTAACTCTGCAGGTGAGATCACTACTCAGTTTTTCATAATTCCCAAAACTCGTGTCCCTTGTTGCACAAATGTTACATTAGCAAAGGGAAGATACAGTGCAAAGAATTTTCATGTTGGTTTCTAAAAGGCAAAGTGGACTTAAACAGGATTCTCCTTCTTTTCAGTGTGACCATGAACTATACAAAGTTCTGGTAAATTACATCAACGATTTCCGTCCACTCCTTGCAAAGGATGACAGTGGGGACTACTTGCTTCTGGTGAGTGGATTTAAATTATCACCCTAAATTGGACACAGTAAGGTTTTACCCTAACCTTAAATTAGCTTTTGAAAATGTCTCAGTCTCTTGATTCACCTATATAAATCCCCTAACCACTCTCATAGAAGTCCCTGGGATTTGAAATTAATTCTCCTTAGGGTGATTCTTTGACATTTCTCACCCTTCAAGGGTGAATCGCGCCAAATTTTCACCTTATTGAGATCTTATTTGGGTGAAAAATATGGACAAAAAAGCACCCTTGTGAGGGTGAATCCTTTCAATTGGTTATCTTCATTTCAGTAGTTGGGGTTATTTTATCTGGAAAATCATCTTTTAGGACGAGCATTAAATTCAGCGAGGGTGCTTTCTCGACCCAATTCACCCTTCAGTTAATACAATGCTATCTTTGTATTTCTTTGTACTGGAACACATGGTTCTAGGAAAGCAAAAGCTGGACCTGTAAGAATCACTGTTTCTTTCACACGTTCAATATTATTGTCAATTTTACTAGAAAGATCCGAGTGTTTTTCCAACTTTAGTTCAGTGTTCATCCATGTCTTTTTTAACTTGTACCTTGCAGAACAGGAAGGGTCACAGATTCTCGGGACCTGCGTTCTCTGCACACATGAAAAGTTTGTTTCGTAGCCTGACTGGAAGATTGGTGACAGTGAATATGCTTCGATCTGCTTTCATCACCTGGTCGTATGGCAGAGAGTAAGATAATTATTTTTTTCTACTATACACTGCACAGCTTTTTTTCTGCCTCATCAAAGTAAAAATACTCACTCAACAAACTTAGAGATATTCACATCAGTCCAACTTTATCCTGGGATTGAATTTTTTTGTTTCTCTTTCTCGGTCATGCACTGGTGTGAGTTGATTATTGTTGCTGAAAAACCTTACTCAAAGGAGCATCATAATCTTATAGAAATAAAAAATTATAAAACATCTTGAAAAAGGAAAACTGGAGGTTGCTCTGTGACATTTCCCTAAATAAAAAAAATAAAACCAGAGAAAAGCTATGTGCAATATAGAATTTATAACAATAGGACATTTTATGAAATATATGTTGTAGTTAATTTTTTATGTCAGGTAATTTTTATTTTCCTTTGGTTTAAACGTCTTTGCCATACATCACCATACTCAAAAACAAAAGGAGAATAAAATTACCTGAGATAAAAAATCAACTAAAACATATACATTGGACCACTGGTGATCAGCATTAACAGTAGGTGAACAAGACAACCAATGATTACAAATATTTTCCACACATTAAATTTTGGCGGGTAGTATTTGGTAGGTCTGCCTTTCTTCGTGTTCATAGCCATCTCTAAAATAAGTTCTCCATTTCACAGTGATTGCACAGATGCCCTTAAGGCATCATTGGCGGCCGCTCTCAGACATTCATGGCAACAAGCCCAGCGTACCTATGACCGCGGTACCGCCAATGACAGAAAGCAGCTTGCTGTCAACCTAGCCAGGGAGTATGCAGAGGACCATTTGGAAGAGGAACCCGATAATGGCCAACCGCAGAGTTTCGGTGACTGCCCATTCAAACCGGGTGACTTTGTAGCTGTGGTGGAAGAGCATAGCAAGCTTAACTGCCCAAAAGTCCTGATCGGACAGATCCATTCTCTCAATCAACAAGGTGATGTTTCCCTTCTCTGGTACAAGAATGTCTCAAGGAACCTTTACAAACTGGAACTCAGCGGTGAACAGTGGACGGAGAGTTTGGAGAGCCTAGTGCCTGTTACAGCAAAGGTGCCAAAGAATCGACCAGGATTATATCAACTCTGCACTTCCCCGCGTCAAATACACAAGGTCGTCTTTGCAGATTAGGTGAGGAACGAGAAATTGAAAAAGCTGGTACTCGATTATCTACTGGGCAGTAATAAAGAAACAGAAAAAGTGTGTTTTCGCTCAAAAGGAAATTCTCATCGATTTTCTGTTTCCTCTTTCAGCCTGCCATGCTTCCAGATCAGAGATCAAGTGACCAGCTCAGTAAAAATCTACAGTCCACTGAAGAACTACAACTATTTCTGTAGTCTGCTACAAACTTTTCTTACACAATCATCTCATGACATTTTAGTTTTGTGTAACATTATTAGGCCTTCAATTATGCTTGGTGAAAAAAGGAAGCCTTTTTCTCGTTCGCAGTTCACTGTGGTGGGCCTTAACCCTTTAAGCCCCAGTATCCACGTACAAATTCTCCAAACTGATCTCTATACATTTCCTTCAAGAATAAGTAGAGAGAATTTGATAATAGATCAAGGCATTTTCTCTTGTGTGATCATTTTGTTACTGCTTATAACATCTCTTGGCAGTGTATGGATCTTGTTTGGAGAAATTTGATCTTGGTCACTATTGGGACTTAGAGGGTTAAAAATATTTCATTTAATTTTGAAAACAGTTTTCATTAGAAGCTGCTCTGGGAGTCAGAGCGGCCAGTCCGCTAGATAATTTTGAAGAGTGAACATTTCAATCATGTCATGAAGGTGTAGTGCTGTGAAGCATCGCGTCACATCACGTTAGTTTAAAGAATAATATTTGATGGTATGCACTTGTCAGACTGTGTACACCATTTAGGCCCCAGTTTCACATTAAAATTTCACACTTGGCTCCAAGGCTAAGGAAGAGAAGAACAAAAGAAGTGAATTATTCATCCCTGAATCTCATTGCCATTTCTTTTATTCTATTCCGTTCAGCTTTGGAGTCAAGGGTGGAGCTGTTGAAAGGATTTGTTTTATTTTCTTTTTTAATCTTGTAAGCAGTTTGGAATTTCTGGATAGACCAGGCAAAGTAAAAAAGGCCCACTTGTTGGTGTAACAAAGTAATAAATCAATAAGCTTACATATTCACACCACATTGTATTTATTTGCTCAGTTTGTTTCTTTTATGATAGGGGGTGGATAACTACTGAAATATGAAATGACAGGGGGTGGGTTAAATTTTTTTTATAGGTCAGAGAAATAAGTCATTTTGAATCTCTGCTTTCCCTTATTTAATGGAGTCAGTACACAGGATAATCGTTTTCGCAAAACAAATCTATTAAGGCAAAAATAGGAGAAACAACAAAAAACATACGTGAAAATCTTGTTTGGTGTGAATTGTTTGGCAATAAGGCTTTGACAGTGGTAATGTCTTCATCTCAGTTCTGGAACTTTCAACTTTTTGTTAATAAGCAACTATTTGGTATATTGGGCTCATATTTTCAGTTAACTGAAATTCATATGTCCTTTTAAATGTATTCAGCAACTTCATTTGTTCAGCTTCATCAGGTAAAAACTTGGTGTGTTATTCGGACGGCAATCTAACACTCAAGCTCTCAGTCTCTTAGTCATGAATATAAGAATGAATTTTTCTACTTTCCTCACTTAAGTTTTAACATTTCAAGTCTTTCAACCGTATTTTCAAATTTCCAACCTATTCATGCCAATTCAAAGAAAAACAGCCTCGGTTCCAGAGAAAAGTATTTATGCTGCTGTTTTGTCGAAGGCAAACAGTTCCCTCCTCCCCCAACAAACAACAACCCCCACCACCACACCCCACTCCCCTCCCCCTTCCCCCGTTCCACCCTACTTACAGAAAAGGGAACTGGCCCCTAATGGAAAGTGCTTTGATCTGTTTAATTCTCTCAACTAATTCGACATGAAACTGTATGAAGATCAACCGGGGAGAATTTGTATGTGGACACTGCAGCAAGATCGTTTTTCTAGCTGTCCAAGCTTTTGTCGTCGGGTATTTTACCGCTAATTTCCCCCTCAAAATATCACTGGTTCCTTATTCAAAGAAAGGCCGCTTCTTTGCACAAAATATCATTGGTTCTTTATTGAAAGAAAGGTTCGCCAGAATGAACCTTCTCATCAACCATCACCGAACAGAATCAGCAAATGATCACTGACAAAACAAGTAGTGTACACTTTTCGCATCCATCTTTTCAGCTAGCCGCTAGATTTGCGCTATTTCCTGCCATGTGAAAATTCTTCCAGAGGCGTCGTTGGCCACAGCCGCAAACTTGAACGAAGGGGGCTCTTGTTTGGGTTCATTGATAAAGGAAACCGTCAGTTGCGATGTTAAACCCCTCGAGCTATCTCGCACACCACATTGCGTCAGCCATTACGCCGCCGCGCGAAGCCTGGGTTTTTGCCCCGTCAGGGCAAAAACCCAGATTCCCTCGGCTGGAATATAAAAATAGCTCCACGGGGAAAACACGGATGACGTCATGGTCATGTAAAAGGCAACGAGTCTATTTGGAGAAATTGACGTAATGTGCCCTGATATATAAGTGTCCCCTTGCGAAATACTTATTCAATCGACTAGACTCGACAATGCAGAAGAGAGCCACGAGCATCGCAGAGTTTTTCCCAGCGAAGAGATCGGATCAAGCAGAACAGCTTGATGGTGGACGAGCGACGCAGGAATCATCCAGGTAGGAAGTCATTTTTCAATTAAGTTTGTTTCCGGTTTTTTTCCCACCGGCCGAGGACTCAAAAAAGCAGTCGCACCGAAGCAAGGTAAATGGTTAACCGTGATTTTCGGTTACTTAATTCACTTAGTATTGCCCAACCCCGTTGATCGTTATTGCGGATTTGAGACCATTTTCGAAATTAATTGTTTTTTTGTTGCCTTTCTTTGGCGGGAGTTTATTTTTGCGGATTTGCGATTTTTTGTATTTTGCTGGAAATTGATTTTTGCGATTTCCAGACAGTACCAGTACCCAGCATTGATAATATGTTTGTTATTTTCGGGAACTTATTTTTGCGGATCGCCGGAAAAAGCGGCGCAAAAACAAACAAATTCAAAAAGTCATGATTGATTGGGGTTGGTTAAGTCATATACCCTTGCTTTTCTATGTACCAACGAATCTAAATTGCGTGTATTTCAATTTCAACTTCTGCATAGAAAATTGGCAACAAACTATTTCCTTTTTAAAATTGGAATCAAATCTAATGATCAATGCAGTTTCTGTAAAGAAAGCTCGGAAACTCTTTTCAATTAAGTTTGTTTTCGGTTTTTACGTTGGGTTTGGAGAAATATGTGAGAAATTCTACTTATCGTTCTGTTTACTTCTTCCCGCTTTAATTCATTTTCTGAGGCGAAAGAATAACCAACAGATTGCTCACTTATCGTGCTTTTTTAAGTTGGATGTCTGATTGTTTTGTTGCAGATCTTCACAAGATCCGCCAGCGCCGAGCGAGGCTGGCAGTGATACGGCGGACAGCCCAGAAAGGTACAGATTTTTGCTTCGTGACAAGCATGAAACTATTACTAGCAACCCAGAGGAAAACCGCTTAAAACGAAATCGGGACTGATGAGGACCACAAATTGACTAGCTGATTCGATGAAACCGTAATTTCACCACCATAATTTTAACTACATTTTTGACGTGGCTACGTTAACAATGTCGTGTCTCTTATTCTGTGTAGGCCTTCTTGTTCCCGCCGGCCGAGGACTCAAAAAAGCAGTCGCACCGAAGCAAGGTAAATGGTTAACCGTGATTTTCGGTTACTTAATTCACTTAGTATTGCCCAACCCCGCTGATCGTTATTGCGGATTTGAGACCATTTTCGAAATTAATCGGTTTTTTTGTTGCCTTTTTTTGACGGGAGTTTATTTACATGATTGATTGGGGTTGGTTTAAGTCATATACCCTTGCTTTTCTATGTACTAAGGAATCTAAATTGCGTGTATTTCAATTTCAACTTCTGCATAGAAAATTGGCAACAAACTATTTCCTTTTTAAAATTGGAATCAAATCTAATGATCAATGCAGTTTCTGTAAAGAAAGCTCGGAAACTCTTTTGCACCTCTTTTGGGAATGCCCGTTCGTTAAATCCTTTTGGAATGATTTGTCGCTTCTCATGTCCTCATAAATTTCTTTAGTAGTCTATTACAATTGAAGGTGTCTTTTTGACAACGGGGTTAAACGACTGTATCTATTTGCTGTGTATTAATTCATTTCTGTTTTTTTCAGACAGTTTTTTGACCAGGAGGCGAGAGCAGAAGGGACACGAGACGGCCGAAGGTAGGTCAAGCATCTTTCTTAATATGCATAACCCTCGTATGCGGCTGTGCTGAGGAATGAGGAAAATACTTCACAGTAACTAATATTTTCCCGCGAAATCGCGCTACAGATTGCCGCGAGGGAAGGGAGGAATCAAGAATTAAAAACAACGACAACAACAACAACATGACTTTAAAAACTTTTTAAGAGATCACTTGAGGAGTATTTGTGAAAGAAAGTCTTTCAAGTTGTCATGAGCTATTTCGCCAATTTTTCCTTCTTTTCGGTGACATGTGCATTGACGTAGAATAGCCCGTACGGAAATGTTGGTAAGTTTCTATGTACGTGTTTATATGACGTTTGGCGTTTGCCATCAACGCCATTCTAAATGATCTGCTGTCCCTCTGCACTTACAGCGCTGACCACGACGATGAAGAAGATGAAGATGGTGACGTTGAGTCCTCACAGGACAGGGCCTTCTTCGTGGCGGACCAGGATGTGGTCGAGGAAAGTAGTCAGTCCTTTTATCGACAACAGGACGCGGCTTCCCTCCAAAGGGACGTCGAGAGCGTGGAGCCATATTTCCCCTTGGCATTCGCAGAATCCGCCGACCGGCCTCTAGCTTTCAACTTTGACTTGTTTCTGCTAGACAGCCTGTCGTTGCCAAGGCACATAGTGCCTCGAGATTCGCGGGAGGAGGTGTCCAATGCAGTTTTGTTCGACAACGCTGCCAACGCTATCAGCTACTGCACCGAGAGACTGGAAAGAGGGTGGAAAGATACGCGTCCTGCCGCTGATCCAACTGAGCGGGCAAGTCGCAGACACACCCACCCAAAGGTGAACAAGTGGGAACTCTTTCGCCGTCACAGCGCACGTTTGACCGAGGCTCTAACCAGCGGACAAGCGCCGTTTGACGCCAATTTAAACCGCGTTCGCTTGGACAGGTACGTTGCTCAGAGACACTAGTAAAAAGCTATTTTTTGGGGGGGGAGGGGGGTATTCGCGCGAACTGACGATATTTTGTTCCTTTTGTTTCCTATTTATTGGCGATTTTCTAGAAAGTACACAGCATTGATAACATTTTCGTTTTTTTGTTTAATAATCCTACAATGCTATGTACACCGTTTCGTTTCCGAATGAAGGGGGCAAGTTGTAATTGAACAGACACGATTGGTTAGTACTTAACTTCTGTGTAGCGAATTTAAGTTATAGAGAGTATTCACCCTGGAGTAGATTTTACGTGTTTGCGGGAACTTATTCAGTCACGGACCGCTGGAAAAAAAACCGCCACACGGTACCCAATCAACTAATAATTTTAACCACAAAATCTTAAACGGCACACTTACGAAGCCCTGTCTGTTTTGGAACGACTGGTTTGGGGGCGCAAAGCAGGAAACCTATAGACAAGCCTTTGTGGACTGACCCTACTCTCTTGCTCTCCCAGGTTTGGAAATATCATGATCTGGGACGCTCCGGCCTGGAGCCTCGCAAGCCCTGAATTCACGCACGGCTTTCCCAAGCGGCTGATAGTGCAAGAACACGGGGGTTTCTTACCGGGGAACATAACCGTGTCGGCGAAGGCCAGCAATTTGACGCTGAGGCGTTTGGCGGTGTGCGACGTGGCCTGCTTGGTCAGTCAAGCAACGACCGCCGGCTCAGGTCTGAGTAGAGCACGGCTCCTTAACCTCCGCTACGCGGCCATCAGTTACCAGAGTGGGTCATTCTGCCCGCAGTACCTGGCTTCCGCCATGGTAGAGTTTGGCGTAAACTTCGCCACCTTTGAGGCATTATCGGCAGACACCTTGGACACGCTTCACGCCAGCCTCAAGCGGGGTTGGAGACAGGGCGACGACTCCAGCAGTAGCGGCGAGGAATCCAACGAACCCCTCATATCCTGTCCGGAGAGTGTTATGCAGGAGATAGGCAAGTCCAGCGCGGAGTCTTCTTCGGAGGCTGGAACCTCCCAACAGCCACCAGGAGACAGCGAGCGGACAATGCTCTGTGCTCTCCTCGCACGGCTGAGCAGCCGGCCCGGCTCGGAAAGCAGCGACTCAGAGGAGGACCACCATGGGGAGACTGACGGAGAGAACACCTCGACGACAGTGGGTGGCGCACGCGCAGCAAGGAAGAAGAGAAAGACTTCCTCTGTAGGCGGGAGGAGAGCCAAGGCGTCCCGCGTGGGAGAAGCGACGGAGGGCAGGGAACCAGGTAAAGAACGCTGAAAAATGAAACCAAACTCGATTATCACTCGCACATAATAATAATAATAATAATAATAATAATATTTCTATAGCGCTCTTATCCTATGTTCAAGGCGCTTTACAGTCATGTAAACAACATTATTGAAAAATATCTACAAATATACAACCATATCCTATTATATTTACAATGAGTAAAAAAGGGAAAAATTAAAACTAACGGAATGTATACAAATCTATAAAAACAATGATCCGTTATTATGATACCAATACATGCTGGTATCAGCACATGATACCAGCTTCGTGTTCTACGTCTCAGGAGAGACCGTTTTCAGTTTGTGGAGTTGTGCGCACACGCTGAGACAGTCGCAAACATTTGGTAGCTAAGAAGCAAACTTGAAAAGCATTGATAGATTGCTTATGTCATTCTTCTTATATTAGGAAAGTGCTAGCAAATATGTTGCGAAGTCTGAAACAAGAGATTTCCTTGCAACAAGAATAACAAACATGGAATCAATACCCCAAGAATAACAAAATTGAGCAAAATTTCATACTGGTAAAGGAACAAAGGCACAACATCATTTTTTCGGCTAAAGTTGCGACACAGCTGGGCTAGCAAATGTTTGTTTTCTATTTAGCGTTTATCTTATATTTTAAGTTGTTTGACATCCATATTGCTTAATTTTTATATATTACATTAATCTTAACTCTTCATTTTTGTAATGCGCATTTGATCATATTTTTATGTGAACCTGGGCAATATAAATGATACGCTCACTCACTTCCAAATCATTAACGGCGAGAACTCCCTGTTTCATTTCAGCAGGTGTAGAAACGACAGGCGAACCAGTGACGGCGCAAGAGGAAGAAGAGGCAAATCCCTGGGGCTTGCAGGACGGGTCGGTCGCGGGACTCAGGCTTGACGCCTTCCCAGACGCGGAGACGTGGCAGGACATGTTAACTTTCTTCCGACAACACCAGCCGCTTCGCCAAGAGGTGGGTGTCCACACTGATGGTCTCTTATCCCTCCCTATCCTTCTTATGGTTATCGTTATCGTTGCTATTTTTAAGGAGAACATTTTCCGTCCGCCGATGACACAATCAGAAACACTGCATTTTTTGTTCTTTCTCTTTCCAAACAGGAAATACGAACCGCCATGCCCAGGGCAGGCGCTTGGCAAGGAGACCCCGAGAGGGCACAAGAGGCCACTAGCAACCTGATTGCAGACGCACGCCGCCAACTGCTTGGTGAGAAGATGGCAGCCCTCTTCGTCATCTGCGGCCGCGACAACTGTAACTGCCGAGAAGACAGCTGTGCTCTGAAAGGCGGTCAATATTGGCTACAAGAGCAGCCACGAAAACCCTGCTCGCAAGACCTCCGCTGTGCCGTTTGCAGCGTCTTCACACGACACCTGGACCTCTGCAATCTCCTCGGTAGGGCGTCTACTAGCAAGGGCGCTCTCTTCAGTCGACTCCTTGCGAGTTCCGTGGCAGTTCACCAACTGTACGACCTCGCCGTCCCGGCAGACTTGCCCCCCGGTCAGAGGGTGACCAGAAAACAGACCGTAAAGGGGATACTGTGCTCCATGTTAGACGTCGAGAGAAATAGGCTACAGTGCCTCAGGCGCATAGGAGAGCTAGCCACGCTGGTGCCTAAACTGCTCTGTGTTCAACTTAGCAGCGGTCGCGCACTCTTCTGGGAACAACTGAGAAGAGTTTCCAACACGGTGATCGGACAACGCGGTCGAGCGGCAAAACTAGTCGCTCTGGAAGCTTTCCGCAGGAGAATGCCGGACGATTCGCCCTGGAAGGAGTTCTTGACCCCCGATTGAGATCTCCCGCATCGCAGTGACTGCCCGTGAATGACTTTGCATGTGGCGCTTCAGAGTTTATTCAGTACTTGTACTTTAAGCAGTTTATTCAGTACTTGTTTATTCGGTACTTGTGTTCCATTTTGCCTTCCTTCTTGTTACTTTCCTTTTTCGACAGTAGTGTGTCTGCCGGTTGAAGTGCAGGATGCCTGTAAAAGATAGCAATTAAAACTGTCAATAAAATGTTGCTTTCGCATGATCATAACTGTATCTTGTCCTGCTCTGACTCAAGGCAGAGAGAAAGAGGGTATACAAAGGTAGAATGCTTATTGACAAGAAGTACGTGAAATCTAAACCACAGAAGCACCGAAATTTACTCTTTTCATGCTCCGTCAATTGCTAGATCGGCAGTTAAAATTGATAACAAATTAACCCAATCCTTTACTTGTCAAGCCGGGGTGAAGCAAGGTTGCATGTTGTCACCTACCCTTTTTAATTTCTATCTAAGTGATGTACCAAAATTGCTAAATAAGCTGGAATCTGGAAGTTATTTGATGCACTGACATCTCCCATACTCTTTTATGCGAGTGAACTATGGGGGATTGATTGCAGTGGACAATTAGAAAAGGATCCAGCAGAATTAGTTCAGAATAAATTCCTGAAGTGGTTGCTGGGAGTTAATAAATACTGCAATAACCGTCAATGCCTGAAAAGCTGAGACAGCAATGGTTTCCAATCAGAATTGAAGCCCAATGTAGGAACTTTAAGTTCTGGTTTTTTCCCCTTAACCTTAACCAAAAATGAAAACGAATTATCCCAAAATGTCATACAATACTATTAAACGGAATGAAAACAAAGCTTTCTGGAGCAAAAAAAAAATCAAAAGCTTCATTATTGGAACAGATAGGGTTAGGAGAATTCTGGATGAAAGCACACTAGGAATCGTAAACATCGTAAAAATCAGGCAACGGCTTAAGGATATCGAACTACACAGAGGGCTAAGTGAAATAAGTAACGACACTAGAAAACTTGCTAACCAAAGCAACAAAATGAGAACCTACCGGTTATTCAAAACGATAGACAATTACAAATGTGGAGATTACCTACATCGGGTCACCCATACGCGACACAGAATAACTCTAACAAAAACTGCGACTAGGCCACCACAAATTAAGGACCCCTTTGTTTTTCCTGTTGAGTTTTCTTTACGATTTGTAAGATATCCATCGGCAGAAAATTTCACTCCAACATGTAAGGTATAATTATTGACGATTTCAATGTGTTCATTGCTAACCAGAAAATTGCGTTTATCTATCGTTGATTTTCTACCCTTGTTTGGAAATACAATAACTCTTGTTTCAGTTGCATTAATCTTATGAAGCCAATCCTGACAGTATTTTGATAGTCTGTCAAGACTTTGCTGCGAACCTGCTGCTGAGTTAGATATTAAAAGTAAACCAGGGGCATAAACTGGGACAGAATACAGCCTTGTAGAACACCTTTACCATAATTGCAAAATTCTGCTCGAACAATATAGGGGCTGTTTTTTTCTTTGGAGCGCGGGTGGTGGGTCTGGACAGAGAATCGGCTGCCACTGTTGCAAACGCGCTCTTTTCACTAACTTATAAATTGGATTCAGCTAACAGAGCCACTCCCTTCAAACATCTTTTGCAACAGAAATCCAATTCCATTAATATCCTATGGCTACGGCAATTCCTGGACTGTCAAACAGTACTCCCTTACTCGAACAGCGTTGGAAATTACAAATCAATTTCTTATTAGAGTTTGTTCTTTCATATCCTCTTATTCGGCTATTTTTATGTCGTACTCTTCTTATAGACCTTGTCACGGTTTTCGACGCCATCGTGACGAGAACGCGTGACAAATTACAGTGTTTGTATGAGAATCTAATGTCGAATAATTTCCGTAAAACGGCTGTTCTGAAAAAGGTATGACTTCTAAACTAAAGCGCTACCAAACAAAGGATTGTACTAAAANCACGGTTTTCGACGCCATCGTGACGAGAACGCGTGACAAATTACAGTGTTTGTATGAGAATCTAATGTCGAATAATTTCCGTAAAACGGCTGTTCTGAAAAAGGTATGACTTCTAAACTAAAGCGCTACCAAACAAAGGATTGTACTAAAAAATTGGGGGGGCGCGTACCTGTGCTTAAATTTCTCCGGAGGCTTGCTTTAGATTTACCATATATTTGTCTGTAATTTTTCCCGGGACTTTCCGACTTACAGACAAATGTATAGAAAATTTCAAAAAGTGGTTCTGCGTCTTCTAGCGCATGTAACGCCCTCAATGTTCTCTTTCTTTTTTTTTTTTTTTTTTCCAGTAGAATCCCTAGGAGTGAAGCATTAGTTTAAAATTCAGATATTTTTTGCAAAACAGCCTTTCTACGGAAATTATTGGACATAAGATTCTAATACAAGTACTGTAATTTCTAACGCGTTTGCCTATTCGTCAAGATGGCGTCGAAAACTGCGACAAGGTCTATTACCATTATTAAACTATGACTGATAGGTGGACAAATTATAGAAAATGCCTGTATTTCCTGCGATTCTCCAACACATGCTGCACGCACGCTATTGTAGCTCCTTTTATGCTGATGACTAGTCTTAAACGCCGAAATTTTCTGGGACCGGTCTATAGCCATTTCTTTCTAACAAAAACAATAAAAGCACTATTGCAAAAACCTACCTAGCACTTGCTGCCTTTTCCCACAACAGGATTGTGTTTTATTTTCGCCCTCAAACTCAAAACTCGAGCGAGGATCGCACATCAGCTGACAAGATGGCGGCGCCGGTGGCCGTTTGGTTCCAGTCTCCCCCGTTCCATACACCGTCACATTTATACTCTATCGCAAGCCGATCTTCGTTCGTCTCTCAGAGCCAAACACCGCGTGTCACAAACTTGAGACTGTCACCAGCGCGCAGTTCACTCTCTATTATATAATACGCACAGTTTTTTAGCTGGCCAACTTCCTCCCTTCGCCGGTAATAAGCCCTCAAAAATACCCCCATTCACCTCTTTAATAGACCAATCACAGGCAACTTGCGCACAAAGCTAAGAAATATTTGAAGACAAGTCAATTGTGAATTCTTCCAGTAAAAGAAAGCTTCACACACAACCTATCTTTTTTACTTCAGGTTTGCTTAAGCCTATTTTCCCACGCAACATAATTCAGATTGATTGACATGCTTCGCCGGCCTTTCTCGAAGCTTAGAAACCGCAAGTCCGCTAAGTCGGTTTAAAGGTGAATTTCTCAGCATTTCGTTATTTAAAATAACTGCACAGTAATTTTCAAGGAGTTATAATAACTCCTCTAGTGGGCCTAATTTAACTCCTTACAGTGGAGTTATTTTTTGGGGAGTTATTTTAACTCCAAAAAGGGGTTTAAAGAACTCTTTTTCAGGAATAAAAGTGACCCCAGATATTGAGGAGTTGAAATAACCCCAAAAAAGGAGTTATCCTGTACCTAAAATTTTTACTCCATTTTTGGAGTTATAATAACTCCCTAAAAATAGGGTCTCTACTCTCGTGGTTGATTAACTAGAATATTGTCATCATTGTCCGGTTAAAAACAGTCACGAAAGTATCTTAAAATAACTTTCGCGATCTGAGCATGGTGATTAGCTCGTTTGAAAAAAGGAACTTTTTGCAATAGAAGAAGAAGTCTGTCTTCCAATTATTCACTGCAGAGATAATAACGGGAAGTCAACTTAACCAAATTTGATAAACGTCACGTTTGTACAACGTTATTAGCAGGTTTCGTGGAGTATTTTTTGCACTGAAAAATCTCTTGAAGCTTACTAGGCGTTGTGAAGTTTGTGATTTTGCAGGTTAAAGGAAACATTCTGTTCCAGTCTAACTGGAAGGTTTCTGTCTGCGTTAAAAGTTTCCTTAATAGGAAGCGCCATAATTCAGGTCATAGAGAAAAAGAAAAAAAAAAAGAGGAAACATCTTTACGGTGGCCAATTTACTTTATTGGTGTCAAATTGAAGTAGAATACCGAGCTGCAGGTGTTTCCCTGTTTCAATAGTATTCCGAATATTTTACGGCTACCCGGGCAAAGAATATCGTTATAGGTGGTTTTCACGTTACGTCATCGCCGCCATGCTGGTGGACAGTAAACAAAAAATCGTTCATTAGCTCGTTTTGTTTGCCCACCAGCATTTGTTCATTTCACCATTGTTATTTGTGTCTCCTGAGATTGGATGAAAACCACCTATACCGAGGACATTTAGATACAGAATCTTTATATCAAAGCTTCATTTCAAAACTAAATAATTCAATGCTGAATGAGTGTCTTCATATCTGATAAAGAGACGGCTCACGTCCAATTTTTTAGACCAAAGTAACTTCAGACCTTAATATTCGTGCAAGAATGAGTTGATCTACATCAGAGATTTTGAAGCCGCTCAAAAAACTCGCACCGCTTTTTTGACGTTCTCTTTGCCTTGGCAACGTCGTGGTTGCTGAAACCTGCCTTCACTAGCCATAATAAGAAAAAAGTTCTTTTTACAGGTGGCCTATGTCACATAATGTGGTTTTCAATAGGGCACTGCATAAAAAAAACTACAAACTACAGTACTAAAAATGACGAAGTATTAAAATAGATGAACTAAACTATAAACTATACCGCTCTCTTATGAACGCACATTAAAGTTTACATTTTAGTTTACTTCCCAAGCACGCGTAGCCCGACCATGCTGAAGAAAGTCTGCCCACCCCGGGGGTGGTTCTGGAATTGGTCTTGGATTGAGAAAGCGCCACTCGATGTCCTCCAATCGCGGCTGTAGTGGCGCGAAATGGACACGCGTAAATGCAAAGGGAAAGAACCCTAAAGGGATGCACCGGGGAGGGCCTTCTGTAAGATTGAAAGGAAAAATAGACTGCTTGCAATGTGGGCAACTAGTTCGTATCCGTCCCTCGGAATGAACAAACCACTTAAGAAGGCACTCCTCGTGAACTCGTTTCCGACAGCATGAGAGTCTGCTAGAAGGAACCT